TATTTCCAGTCTTACACGTCAGTCACATAACTGATGTCTTCTGCAAGTTCAGAGCACACTGGAAACTGCTGCTTACATTTCCAGGGCACAGCCTGTGCTTCCCACCCTGCTGAACCCCAAACCCCTGCAAAGCCCAGCCCCAAAGGCACCAAATCCAGGCTTTGCCAAGTGTGACACAGAGCTGCCAGCAAGGCAACTGCCCAAGTCCTGTGCTAATGACACCCAGAGGGTTACAGCACAGAGCACGGACCTGTCACAACTAAGCTGGTGGATTCCTGTGTCAGTGACACATTTTCTTATTTCTCAAATACAGAAATTTTTCAGCTGTCAGCCCACCGGGGGTTTTTTAATGCATTTCGGTAGTTTAGCTATCCATGTAGTTCTCTTTGGAGATATGTTCACTTTGAGGCAGAGCTGAGTAGCACAGAAAAGCAGAGATGTTGGCTGTACCTCCAGCAGCACAGGAATCTCACCAGCTGCCAGTGCAAAGGCAATGCCAGGATAAACTGGTAGCAGTGTCAAAAATACACAGCTTCATCTTTTTTTACTTGCAGCAAACTGCAACAGGTCAACAGTACCCACACAAGATCGTGCAGTTAGACCCAAAAGGCTGTTTCCATTGTATTTTCTGGTATTTCTTACTAACTTCTTCATTGATTGCACTATTAATCTTGACATCATTCAGTTCCATGCTTTGCTCTGCCCTCTTGCCCTGCCTAAGTCTGGAATCGATGTTCAACTAAACTCAAATATGCTTTGAAATTTCTCGGTTTAATTAATAAAATACACACCAAGAGTGCTTGAGTGCCACAGAGCATACAGAGATCTGGGTCTTGCCATCTGTGAGTTATATTACAAATTTAGCTGCAACTGATGTGGTCTGTTTGCTGCATTCCAGGCAGTTGATCCCAGAACCAAGACCTTGGACCACTCAGCTTTTACAAAGCTATTCAGAATCAATAATGAATTTAGGCCTGCCCCTTCCAGCTCTGCCAGTCAGCACCAGCAGCAAGAATCAAGCTTACTCCAAGTAATAAAACCCAAACACAAATAGGCATCTGTGCTATTTCAATCCAAGAGGGATCTGCAATGCAAGTTTAAAAAGGAAAACTATTTTCTGTTGGAATTGTGAGAAGTGAGCAAAAGCCATAATGGAAAACAGCTCTCCCCAGGAGAAATGGAAGAGGAGGGGGAAAAGCCAGAGAATCACATGCTGCAATTAAGGGATGAACAGTTGGGATTTCAAAGAATGCAGTTTATAAATCAAGTCATGAAGGGGATGATGAAATTCAGTGGACACAGGTAATGAAAACTCATCTCAACACTCACACACTCCTGTCCCAATTTCTCTTGCCATTTTCAAGAGCAGTCCAGCTTGGTCAGAAGTGCCTGAGCTGCAGACTGCCAGCACTGGGGGACACTTGGGCTAAGATAAATTAAACACCTCCCTTGTTCCTTGTCCTTCTTGCAGGATCCACTGCTGGCCAAAGTCTGACAGGATGCTGGCCTTGGTGTAAGAGATTTAGTCAGACCAAGCTGCTCTTGAAAATGGCAAGAGAAGTTGTGGTAGATGAAAAAGGAAATCATACACACACCAATCTAAGAAAAAGGGGATCCAAACTTCTGTAACCAAATACTGAACGAGCAAATCTTGCCCTTCTTTCAAGGGCATCATCACAGGATTCATCACTGTGCCAGCAGATGCAGTGGGGGTCAAGAGATCCTAAAATTCAGTTTATTGCCAAAAAGTGTTTTATTCAGCTAAAAACTTCTGCCACACTCCATAACCCAGCCACCAATGCTTCCAGACTTACAGACCTTCAAGGACAGGCACAGAGAAACAGTTAAACTCTGGGTCCAAAACACTAAACTTGGAGTTATAAACTGTCTAGAAAACAGTCTTGTTATTGCCAGAGATCAGAAAGAGAGCCCAAAAGCCAGAGGAAGTCACAGCATTTAAAGTTAAAAAGGAAATTTGCCTCAAGATAGTCCTGTGTTTCAGCCTTTCCAGTGTATTCCTCATCCAATCTTCTGTGAATTTTTCAACTTGGCCAATAAATACCTCTTACTCCAGCACTTGGATAGGATTTATGATGCACTGCAAGTGCTGTGCAATTAACAGATTTAATGCCCAATTCACTTCCTCCTTCAAAGGGAGACTGGAGGAAAGCATCCCAGGAGCTGTGGGTATGTCATACATATACATGAAATGACATTTCCTCTGCCACTACTCTAAGTCAGCACATCCCTACTTTTCCTGCAGATGTATCAAACCATTTTCACTGTTTAGATTCCCAACTATTAGTCATTCTTCAGCTTAATCACAGAGGGGTTTACAGTATGGATTTTTACACACCATCCCACATTTTCACCATAATTTATCAATTGCTTTTTCCACTCCATTTCACTGAATTTCTAATCTCATTTCCCCAACTACACTGTCTACAATCATAACATAAGAGTGACTTTAAAAAAATGCAGTATGCTCCACTAATTTCACAATGTGTTAAAGGAGATAACAGAGGGAATACATTCTTTCCATCTCAGCATGATTGCTTTAAGTTGCCTATCAGAGACAAAAGCCCATGGCTGAGGAGGAGGACAGGCACTGCCTGTGAGGGCAAGTCCAAGCTCTGCACTCTCACATGGCTCTTGACCAACTTTCAATGAGACAAATGCCACCAACTCCTCCATGCAAGGCTGAGCATTTCCCTCTTGCACATGTTTAATTTCCCTTTGGTGGCTGCTCCACCATAGAATCGTGCTGACAGGGCTCCATCCAATCCATTTGAGGGATTATTGCTGATGTTTCATAGCCTCATAAAAAAAAAAAAAAAAAAAAACCCTGCTCAAAGGAGTTCTGAGTGGCACAACTCCGTGCTCTGCTTCCCAGCTGCAGTCTCGAGTTCTACAAAATGTCAATGCTGAGCACAAGCTACTTTCACAAGCAATTAAGAGAGACTACATGAATACCTAGCTCAGCCCTCAGGCTACATCACACTTGCCTTTCAGTTTTGTTCAATTACTTTGCCCTTCTCTTTGGTAAACAGAAATCCTTGTTTTCCTTTCTCTCTACCACGCACTGCATCTGTTCTCCAAATTCCACCACCTCAACCCACACGTGGCAGCCCCTGGACCAGTTTTACTCTATGATGAAATCAATTTGGCCAAAAGATTTGAAGGTAAGGTACCTAATGTAGCAAGGTTCCTAAATAAAATTTAACTTTTTTTTTTTTCTTTTTAAGGCAGTATCTCTGAACTCAATTGTACCTCAAGTTCAAAAGCATAAATAAGACCTCAAGTCCTCTCATTTAAGATTTCTTCAGACAATTTTACTTGTCACAGTTGTACAAGCCACACAGTTTGCTGAAGTTGTTGCCATTTCTGCAACTTTATTTCCAGAATCAGCTTTACCAGTATTGAACTTTCACAATTACATACAGTCTTGTCTATAAGCTCATGATATCCTGATCTCACCTCTCAACACAGCAAATTCTTCAGCTTCAAACCCACTGGAACAAGAGCAAAGGGGCAATGGAGGGGAAGGAAGTCCAGCACTGCACCACGATGCCCTCAAATGCAGAAGCTCATCTGCATGACATGACACTCACTCCAACCACAGAAAATCCCAGGATTCAAACACTGTGTGCACATCCCGTGCCTAAACACTGGAAAAGAACTGCCCAGAGCCCAATATTTACACCAAACTGCTCTCAGATTTTTTACTACATATTTCACTTCATACATCACTTCTACTCAAACTGAGCAGCAACAATAATCAACTTGATTCTGACAATTCATGCTTTCAGCTACAAAGATGACAGAGTGAAAGTTTCCAAGAGTCAACAGAAGTGCAGCAGAACTTTCTGCATAAACCCAGTTACCTTATGTAAACCAGGGTTTGAATTTCTCTACAGAACAATGTCAACAGTCATAAAACAGAAACAGAAGCAGTGCCAAAGGGTTAACATTTTATGATGGTAACACTTGTAGGGTTAACACTTGTTTGGAAGCCTGGAGATCAGTTTTAAGGTAATTATCCTTGCTGATTTAAGTAGGTTGCATCCCACATCATGACAAACCTTTCAGGACCACTTGTTACTGTTGGAATTTTGTTTGGGACAGAACAAACCAGCTTTGAGGGACAGGCCTTCAGTTCCATATTTTAGCTGATTCCATGGAGTTACACCCCTCAAAGTGCCCCAGCAGCACTCACATTGCCCATGGAGCTTCAATCCCATATTTCAGGTGACCCCATGGATTTACACTTCCCCCCCAGGATCAGCACTCACATTACCCCATGCACTGGGGCTCCAATCCCATAGAATTACACCCCCAAAGTGCCCCAGGATCAGCACTCATGCTGCCCATGCACTGGGGCTCCAATTCCATATTTTATGTGACCCCACAGATTTTCACTCCCCCCAGGATCAGCACTCACGTTGCCCATGGAGCTCCAATCCCACATTTTAGGTGACCCCACGGATTGACACCCCCAGGAGCAGCACTCACATTACCCATGATCTGGGACTCCAATCCCATATTTTAGCTGACCCCATGGATTGAAACCCTCAGGATCAGCACTCACGTTGCCCATGCACTGGAGTTCCAAACCCATAGAAATACATCCCCAAAGTGCCCCAGGATCAGCACTCACGTTGCCCATGGAGCTCCAATCCCACATTTTAGCTGACCCCACGGATTTTCACTCCCCCCAGGATCAGCACTCAGGTTGCCCATGGAGCTCCAATCCCACATTTTAGCTGACCCCACAGATTTTCACTCCCCCCAGGATCAGCACTCATGTTGCCCATGGAGCTCCAATCCCACATTTTAGGTGACCCCACAGATTTTCACTCCCCCCAGGATCAGCACTCACGTTGCCCATGGAGCTCCAATCCCATATTCTAGGTGATCCCATGGATTGAAACCCTCAGGATCAGCACTCACGTTGCCCATGCACTGGAGTTCCAAACCCATAGAAATACATCCCCAAAGTGCCCCAGGATCAGCACTCACGTTGCCCATGGAGCTCCAATCCCACATTTTAGCTGACCCCATGGATTGACACCCCCAGGATGATCACTCACGTTGCCCATGGAGCTCCAATCCCGTATTTTAGGTGACCCCATGGATTGACACCCCCAGGATGATCACTCACGTTGCCCATGTACTCGGAGAGCAGGTCCTGCAGCGCCTGGCGCACGGCGTTGCACTCGGCCACGATGCGCTCGCGGCGGTCGTCGCGCGTGCAGGACGAGTCTGCCATGAGCGCCGCGCCGCTGATGATGCTCTCCAGCCGCTCCTCCAGCGACGGCCGGAACCGCTCCTCGCTGAACGTCGACGGGTCCACGATGATTTGTTTCTACAGGAGACAGACACAGGCGGGTGGAGTCGTTTTTTTAAGTTTCTGTAGGGTTTTAGTGTGTAACGCTCAAAGTACTGATAGAGCGTTAGGTGGTGTCTTGGTCAGGCAAAATTCCTCTCCAGGCATGGAACTCAAGGGCACCTCACTGTCTCAGGCCCCAAACATCAGTGAAGTGAGGGGGCAAACTTGGAGTAAATTACTTCAGCTGTAATTGGAGTATTAACCCCCAAGATGCAAATGGACCAAACTTAAAATTGTCTGAACAACTCATGGCCATCATCCATCTTGGGTGCAGCCCCTCTGGGAGGCTTCTGTACCTACTGAAGGCCTGCAAAAAATACCCACTTTTATTCTCTTATCCAGCCTCTGTTCTAGGTAGCCACTCTAAGGCATCAAAGCAGTGTGTTACTGTTTAGTCATGCACACAACCAACACTTAGAGCAACCCCCTGATCAGGCATTAAGAGGCAAACGACAGCATTTTGGCACTGAGGAGGATTTTCATGAGTAGTTTTGTAAAATTACTAAGAGGTTTCTCAGCAGATTATGCTGCTACTCATTTCTTGTGCTGTTTTGACAGCTAAACAGAGTTTGGCCACAGGAAGCCTTGTTACATGAATGGCAAAAATCAAATGTGCCAGCAGAAATAAGGTTCAAAGTACAGGACTCTTCCTAATGACATGTCACTCTGGACGGGCCTTCACTAGTTAACTTGTCAGATATAATTATCCCATCATGAACAAGAAAACAAACATCCAAAATTAGCTCTATGTATTGTGTTCTGTTGCCCTACTTTGCAGAGCCTTTCTTCTCTTCAGTGTTAGGCAGGTAAATACAACTGTGTTCTGGAAAATTCTCCAAGTGAAATATCAACACAAAGGTTTCACACCACACAGAAATCAATTTCTTCATGGCAGAAAATGACCACAGGTTTCTCTTCTCAGTGTTAGCAAGCACAGCTCATACCAAGGGCTGGAACAGCAGCACTGATGTATCTGCTCTCCAGGGCCAACACCACCACCCATAGAAGCTGCTCAGGAAAAAGCTGCACAGAATTTATCACCTTTGAGCACTTTCAGGTGATTTGTTTAAACAGGTCTGTAATTTAATAAAGAAAAGTAATTTGGCCATTTCACAGTTTGGTGGTTTGTTTAGGGTTTGGTTGGGTTACTTCAGGGGCGGAATTTGTTAATTCTAAAAGAAGCCCCAAAGGCTTTTTGAAATGGGAATTTTCTCAGCCAGTTTGTGTTCCAGTTAACCTCAGCAGCCACCTCCTGCCAGCCAGCACTTTTCCTATCCCTAAGGAGTAACCACACAGCAGGATGAGAACACGGCTTGTGCTCTCCAACATTCTCTCCTCATTCTTCCTGAAACTTTGAGCCACTGGCTAACACGTGCTGCCACTGCAGAACTGCACCATCAAAACACAGAGATAACAATCAGCTTGTTATCTCCTGCTAGCCATTTCATATTTTACCATCACTGGAGTATCTGGGGGCATGTGTGCTCAAAGCCTCTATTACAGGAGTGTAATAACACTCAAGCAGTAGCAGGAAATGAAGTGCAGGGATAACATCTGCCAAGAACCTCAACACATTTGTTTTGTCAGCCTCCCTTGGCAGGGATGAGACAAAGCTATCGTGAAGCTGGCCTGCTGATCAGGCACTGCTGCTATTAGAGAGTTTCACAAAGTGGAATTAAAAGCTCAAAAAGCTTCATGTGAACTGCAACACTCAAAAACAAGTCTGCAGCTGTATACTGGAGAGTTTGTGTAGTAAAATAGGGTGATTAATCAGAAATCCCATTAGCTGGTGTGAGCTGTACAAGCCTGCCCACAAACCTGAAGTGAATTATTTCTTCCCTGACACGGTGCTGCTGCTGCAGGGCTGCCCTCCTCTCCCACAGGCACCTGGGAGAACCTGCAGCCTCTCGGGGCTGCACTGAGCCTCAGGCACACTCCAAAGGCTTACCAAGTATCTGATGGAATTTCAGAAAGGCAAACTCAAAAGTGAAACCAGTCACAAAGATCAAGCCAGCCATGACATCCTCTTGTTACCCAAGGGATCACAGGGAAAGGTTTCCTATCAGGCACAGGGAGAGCTCAAACACAACTTTATCCTGGCAAAATACACTTTATCCCATACACCTGACAAAAACTTTATCCTGGCAGAAAGGGAGGAACGAGAGTGGCAAGAGCAAAAAGGAGGTGGTGAGCAAAATCTGGCAAAACCACAACTAGTAAATGCCTTTTGAGTGATGGCTTTGCAACATTAAATAAAGTTCTAGAGTAAATTAGTGCTACAGTGTTTAAAATGCAGAGGCTGAATCAGGTAGACAGCGAATCCTGGCTTCAAAAGGAAAGCCATCTCAGTAAAAATGCATGGCTGTCCTCAGCAACGTGCTGAATGCAAGATAAAGAACATGACAGATCAGTACAACATATCAGTGTGAAATGACTTCATTTCCAACCAAAGATCATATTAAAACTTCCCACCTCATGTTCCTCTCAATAGGTAGCTTCAGCAATTCCAAATACATGATTCACTTTTAATAAATCACTTCTGTCACCTCCAAGAATACATTACATAAATATATTATGAAATAATCAATTTCAAACAAACCATCTAATGTAGCAGTAGGCTAACTGCTATTTCAGAGCTAGTTTAACTTGACAGCTTTCCATCACCAAGAGCCACATATATAACTTTCTAAATTCCATCAACCCTAGTTTGGAAAATGACTTTTTTTTAAAAAGCCTACTTTGCCTACAATTTGCTGCACTTCATTTTGCAGACAATGTGTCTCAGGTTGCAATACAGGATGTGACCAAAAGTGTGAATTCTGT